CATAGAGGGGGATGCATCGACCCCCAATCGCCTAGAGACCGTTTTTTGTTTCCTCTGGCGGGTAACGCTTGTTACCCGCCCCCCCCCAGGTAACGCTAACGATCGTACGTGGAGGGCGGGCCCCCTTCCTCTCAGCAGGTATGGCGCTGTGCTCACAGGCGTGGCGTGGTGCTGAAAGGCAAGTGTGGTGCTCACAAACGTGTTGTGGCGTTCGCAGGTTCCCCACATGTTGTGGCGCCGAATTCAGAGGCATGGCGTGGTGCTAAAAGGTATGGTTTGGTGCTCACCTGCCTGTTGTGGCGCCCGCCTGCAGGCTATTGCAGCGCGCAGACTAGTATGGTTCACGTCTACATCCCTATGTTCTCTGCCCCTGCACTTCCTACTTGTGGAACGCTGGAAGCAATGCTGCCAGGGGATTTCGCAGCCATGTCTGGGTGGAGCAACGGTTATCCCGCGTCTGTTACACTTGGCACTGACGAAGGCGAGGCAACGTCGAACGACGCCACGAGTGCAGCTGTTGTATTGCATAGCATAATCCTACCTCCTCCCGCCTGCTCCACCGCCTACTAGTATCCTCCCCCTTTCCTCGTTTTCCTCTGTCCCTCCTCTTCCTCCTCTCCTTCCTTTTCCCATCTGGATTGCGTTGTGCGTTATTGGGATTATATAAATTGGCCGTTTGGGCCATATGGGGTTATCCGCACAGCGCCCTTGCCCTTTCGTTTCGTCCTCCCCCTCGCTCTTCCTCGTCCTCCTCGTACGCTTTCGCCCGCACTCGCGGGCCGAATTTCGTGACATGTTCGTTGCGTGCTGGCGCGCCGAGGTGCGATGTGGCGGTTTTTTCTTATCTGTTCACGTGCCGTTGTTTTTGAAATGTAAAAAACCTCCTTCCAACCACCCTCGTTCAACCCCGCCCCCCTCCTCCCCCACCTCGGTCCCGAGTTTCCCCCCTTCCCCCCATTTCTCTCCATCTCCTCTGGCCGTCTCGTTCGAAAGCTACGGATGGCCTTCCCCGCGAGAGCCTAAAAAACGAGACCCGAGGGCCTCCTGCGGCGAGCCCCGCAAAGCGGCGGGGGAGGAGGAGGAGGAGGAGGAGGAGGAGGAGGAGGAGGAGGAGGAGGAGGAGGAGGAGGAGGAGGAGGAGGGGGAGGGGGAGGGGGAGGAGGAGGAGGAGGAGGAGGGGAGGAGGACCAGACGCAGGAGGAGGAAGAAGAGGGGACAACGTGGTGCACACAAGCGCTGTGGCGCACACGGCTGTTGCACTATACAAAAACACTGCGGTGGATTCGGGCGACGTGGCGAGGGTTTCCGCGGTCCTGTGGTGGGCCCCGCAAAAAAAAATTTTCGCAAGCTACTGATGTGCCCGTTGGCACTTTTTGTTGTCGACAGGCGATGTGGTGCACGGAAGCAGTGTGGCGTGCGCAGGCGCTGTGGTGCACGTGGTTGTTTAGTGCACGCAGGCGCTGCGGTGTACACAAGCGCTCTGGTGCACGCAGGCAACGTGGTGTACTCAAGCGCTGTTGCGCACACGGTTGCTGCAGTACAGATATTGCGGTTTACATGGGTGACGTCGTGGCGTTGTGCACGCAGCTGCTGTGGTGCACCGAAACACTGTGGTGCACTCAGGCGGCGTTGTCTTGCACGAGTGCATGTGGCATTGTCGCGTGCACAGGGATTGCAGCGCACGCAGACAATTTTTGTGCCGATAACGGGGACGCACCCTAGCGGGCGCACGCCGCGGCCGCCGTTACCGTTACCCGCCGGCCCAACCCGCCCTCCCCGGGCAACAGCCGTTACCCAAAATAATATAAGAAAACAGTCTCCTATTGATCGCTGATAGTGGCCCGATAGCCCCAGCATGCCCAGGAGCGTGCGGATTCACCATCGAGAGGCCCGGTCCATCGGCGACGCATCGCCGATTCCAGGGCGATGCTTCACCCCCTGTGCCTATCCCCCCCTTTCTCGCTGCCCCTCAGAAGGGGGGGAGGGGCGGGTGCCGGGGCGCATCATATGCTCACGGGCCGAGTCCTGGTCCTTGGCGGGCTTTGCGAGGATCAGACCCAGGAGTGCGACGTCCTGATTTTTTCTCTACGGGGTTCCTGGAAGTCCCGACCCTGTCCCCGGGACCGGTTTTTCTTGCCGAGTCGTTCTCTGGACGGTCCGGAGGCCCGGCGAGGGCCCCCCGAGGCCGAAAATGGCCCCAAACCTCCCGTCCTGATTTTTTTTTCCACGACGCGATCATGTCTGGGGGAGGGGCGCCCTGCTGGCATAAAACGACGCGAAGCGCCGCTAACCTCCTCCTCCTCCTCCTCCTCCTCCTTTTCCTCTCTCCTCCTCCTCCTCCTCCTCCTCCTCCTCCTCCTCCTCCTCCTCCTCCTCCTCCTCCTCCTCCTCCTCCTCCTCCTCCTCCTCCTCCTCCTCCTTCTCTAGGGCCTCGCCGCGCCGCGTCGGCCGCGTCGGCCGCCCGGCGCCACGGGCCGCGGCCGCGCCGCGGCCCCCGCAGGTGGAGCTGCCGCCCGCGCAGATCTTCTTCGAGGCAGCACCGCTCGGGCCAGCGCTCCCTCGCGGGCGGTGTTTTCTCCCCCCGAGTTCCGGTCGAGAGGAGTTTGGCCGTGCAGAAACGGGGGGAGGGCCTGGGGTACACTCCAGGGGGGCTGTTCGTACGCCCCGCTATCGAGGATATGGACGCCCCCCATCGTGTATCCCAGGGTTGGGCCCCCAATTTTTGGTCCATTCGAAAACCCCACGAAACCTGGGATAGGGGTCGACACATCCGCTGCTAGCTTCCTCTGCTGGGGGGCAGCCTTGGCCTCGGCCTCCCAGGCGGGGTTGGAGGGTCGCGCCGCATCCCCTTTGCATCGGCGATGCAGCGCTGATGCATCGCCGATGCATCGTCGATGCATCGGCGACGTTTGCGATGCATCGGCGACCTCGGCGTGGAGAAAGTCGGGCTCCACATCGAGCCGCCTTCTGGGTGGGCGACTGGGAACTCAGGGGTCGTGGCCGAGAAACATCTCCGTATCCGCGGCATCGCTGGCCGGGCCCCTGGGCCGCGACCCCGCGGGTTCACGGCGGTATTTTGCGGCTGCCCCGCGCGGAGCGTGCGCGTGCGACCGCGTGTCCGAGGGATCGCGCCCCGGAGTCCAGACCGCAAGTGCGCGAAGAATTGCGGATAGATTCGCCGCTCGTTAGGCGGGGGGTGGGGGGGGGACGACCCCCAGTCGGCAGTTCATCGCCGATGGGGCACGTGGTAGCCCACCCCGCCCAGGAGTGAACAGCTTTGCGATCGGGGGTCTGTCGCCGATGCATCGGCGTTGGATCCCCGATTGCAGGGCGATGTCTCCCCCTGGTTATCGTCGCCCCTCAGAAGACGCTGAAGGAAAGCGCAGTTCAGTTTCGGAATGGGGCTCGTTTCATAATCGTTTCTCCAGCGCCCCTCGTGGGCCCATTTGGTTTTGTTTATGGTCCGAAAATGGGTTGCGCTCCTTGCTTGTCATGCATAATGGTAGTATCTTGACTGCACTCCCTATTCCTCTCAGTATGTTTGCTCGGCGGCAGGCGCCGCGACGCAATAGAGAAAGGGAGGAAGAGACAGAGACAGAGACAGAGACATGACCACAGAGCGCGCCCGCGCGCCTGATTCCTGCCCATGCTTCTCCGCGTCATCCGGCACCCCGTTCTCGTCCCCATCTCGTCCCGTCCGCTCCCAGGAAGAAGATCTGTCCAAACGTTTTTTACGCTCGGGGTTATCACTTGCTGGCTTCTGGAGTGATTGCACGGCTTGCCGAGGTTTCGTCGCGGTGCCGCCCGTGAGCGCCTCGTGGGCTCTCCGTGCGCGGGGTGGGTCTGCCGAGGCCGTCTGGTGGACGCCCGTGGGCGCCCTGTGCGCTTGGTGGGCTTGCTGGGGGTTCGTCTGCTGGCCGCCCATGGCCACCTCGTGGGCAGCCGCATAGCTGGCACCACGTCGCCTGCACAACACACCCAGACCCCCTCGAGCAACGAAAAAATCACGACGGGAGATGTTTTGCCATTTCCGGCCTCTGGGGGCCCCTACTGGGCTTCGGGACCGTCTAAAAACGGTTCGGTAGGAAACGCCAGTCCCAGAGAATAGGTCGAGACTTCTGGGGGTCGGCGTCGTGAAAAAAACGCGACGTCGGGAGTCTGGGTATCTTGAACCACGTCTCCTGCACAACACAATCTGCGCATCAAGTAACTTTCAACGAAGTAGCTTACACCTCACAGCTTGCACTTCACGTACCTTCCAGATCCACAGTGTCATGATTTTTTGTCTGGGGTCCACGCTGGCAAACATGTATATCTGCAATTCTGTACACAAAAGTGGCACGTGCTCTCCCAGGCTCATACAAACTGAGCTGCAGGATATACTCAAGAGCAGTTTGGAGATGGCCAGTAACGTGAGTACCAAACCTTGAACGGAATTTGGTGCAGGTGAAGTTTCAACCCCTCGCGATTTCAATTGAAAGATATGCAGGAGGGCACCGATGTGGTTGCCGCACCTTGCGATTAGACGACATGCTGAGAAGCACCCCTGTGGGCATTGGAGCAACGAAGGTTAAACCAAGTATTTGAAAATGCATGCCGCATAATCGAGCAAGCGAGGAACGTATGAGAGTCAGGTGCGGAAACTAATGTGTTGCTTGAACACTGTGTGTGTCAAGCTGTTGAGGAAGCACTGCGTGTGTTTCAAGCCTGACGCCGAGCACTGTGTGAGGGACGCTTCCACTCGCCAGTACCAAATAATACCAAACCAAACAGCCGACGCCGCCGGCAATGAATCGCCCATGAGTTCAACTCCATCGAAGAACATATGTTGTATGACGACATATGGTTACCAGCGTGTGCCCCAAGCAGTACTTTATAAGCTGGGTGCAAGTTACGAGGTGTTCGAGATTTGGTGCAACCTATGTGGTGAAAGCTATGTGGTGCAAGCTACGTCGTCCATTCTATGTTCTGTAAGTTTTGCCGTGTAGGTGTGCGGTATTCGATAAAAGGTTACGGGGTGTCAGTTGTGTGGTATAATATAGTCGGCTAGTTCCATGGGGAGCAAGTTTTGTGGTGTGAGCTCTGTGGTGTAGGATGCGTTGCAAAAGCTATGTGGTGCAAGCCAGGTGACGCAAGCTGCCTCATACAAGTCCGGTGGTGCAAGCTGTGTGGTGCAATCAGTGTTCGGGCGAAAGGAAGTATGCACATGCACCGATTCTGGCAAGGCCCATCCTTGACCCAGGATCGGTGCATATATACCCGCCTAGCCACGGTAGGAGGGCCTATGCACCGTTCCTGGGCTCAGGATGGGCCTGGCCAGAGTCGGTGCATGTGAAATGTGCATAGTTCTCTTTCCTCTCAGCGTGGTGCAGGCGAGGCGAAGTCGCGCCACGCCCACCAGGCGTCCACGAAGCCCCCACGGGCGCCCGCCGGAGGGCACCTGCGAAAGACCTCGCCACACCCCACCATGGCGCCCACGGGGCGCCCACGAGGCGCCCGCGGGCCGGCCCCGGGCGACACCTCGCCACGCCCGCGCAGCACGAGGCGCCCACGAGCCGAGACGCAAACACGCAACACGAGGCAACCCGGCATTCGCCGAAACCTCGCCACGCCAACCAGTTGTTTAAGGGGAACAACAAGTGACATAAACATTAAACTCGGAGGTCCGCGCGGATTTCTCGGATCGGCGCCGGGGCCCCCCGGCGGCGCCTCCGGCGCCGCCCCTGGCGCGCTCCGCGCGCCGGGGAGGGGGGTCCAGCGCCGATCCGAGAAATCCGCGCGGGCTTCCGAGTTTTTATGTTTATGTCACTTTTTGTTCCCCTATGTTTAGCAACAGTCACGATGACGCCCTAAGTACAAGCACTGTGTGGGGCCGACTTGCGCTCGGCGATCCATCGCACGATGATCTGTTCTTCCTCCCCGTCAGCTCCTCCAACCACTACTCCCCAAGCCTTGCGGCCTCTTGAGCGCCTGCCCAACCATTGGAAATGCAAGGTCAGCATGGCTCAGGCAGGACACAACAGATGAGCAGAGCTCACCTGCAACCGTGCGTCAGCAGTGCGTCAGCAGTGTGCCTCTCTGTTTTGTTCTGGCGTTCTGCTATCTGGTTTGAGCTGCCCTTCCCACTGCAAGGGGAGCTGACGGAAGCGAGGGCGCGGCCCAGCGTGCTTTTTGGGGGTGCGCTCGATGGGGTCGTCGCATGGGCGCGCCGTCTTCTTCACGGCGTGGCCGGCGGCCACTGGCAGAGGCGAGGAGCTCGGTCGTTCGGCGGCCTGTTCACGGGGACGGGGGGTCCGCTCGCTGCCTGTGATCCGCCCTACTCTCTGCCCAGCTTCAGGAGGGGAAAAAACATGCAGACACAATTAATCCTCCGCTCCCAGGGAAATATGGGAACATATGGGAAGTGGGGGGCAAGACAAAAACCCAGGAAATAGGGGAAAATAGGGAGAATCCTGTTATATTTGTGTGTACTTATTTGCGTGTCCTGGGGCCCCTTCCACAGTTGCTGTTCCCGCCTCTTTGATCGGAGGCCACCACCATAGCGATCAGCATGGCATCTCCCCCCATTATTGCCCCCCTGTCGAAGCGAGGGCGCCCTCGAATACGGAATGCCGGCTCCCCACATGCGCCACTGCGCGCTCACGCCCACGCCCCATCCCCTGCGCCCCGCTTCCCCTCCTACACCCTGGCCTCCTCCTCCTCCTCCTCCTCCTCCTTCTCCTCCTCCTCCTACACCCTTCTCCCTGCACCCTCCTCCCTGCGCCCTGGCCCTTGGCGATAGGCGGTGCCTCTCCAGTCGTCTCGATCTCCATCCGCAATATAGCGCCCTGCTCTTCTGCGGAGCGTGGTGGTGCTGCGGGACCGGGCCAGGAGAAGGGACGGGGAATTCAGGAGCGAAACAAGGACGTACATGTACATGAATCCCCGCTGGTTTCGAGAGCACGCATTGCACAAATGTTCGTAGAACGCGGCGGGTCTCGCGAATCGAGGGGCCGTGATCATGTACATAGCTGGGCGCGTACGTCCTTTGTGGGCTCCCTAGGAATGGAGGGAGGCCTCTCGTCCGCGTCGCTCGCGCCCTCGCGGGCCCGTGAGGTCGCCCTGGCCGTCTGGATCATCGAGGGGTGCCCTGCCACGGAGCGCTGCCACGACCTGCTGATGGCCATCCGGAAGCTCCAGACCGACACGCACGAAGACCTGAGCCAGATCGAGTTTGCGCCGGTCGCGCCCGCCTCTCTCCTCCTCCTCCTCCTCCTCCTCCTCCTCCTCCTCCTCCTCCTCCTCCTCCTCCCCCTCCTCCTCCTCCTCCTCCTCCTCCTCCTCCCCCTCCTCCTCCCATGTTTACGTGTTTCCCCCCCCGTTCGCGAATGCCCGATCGAAGTCGACGATAGCACCACCCGTGGTGGTGAGGATGCGGAGGAGTGAGGAGTGAGGAGCGAGGAGCGAGGACTGAGGAGTCCATCCGCCGTCCTCCGTCCCCTCCTCCTCCTCCTCCCGTCCCGGGTCTATTTGCTCTCGGCGGTGTCTCTCGACTCGACGTAAGAGTGACCCTTCGCCAGAGTGATGTGTGGCACGGGCCGATTTGAAGTCCCCCGATCGCCGAGCGCGATTCGTGTTGGGCTCCTTGCAAAAACCGCGCACCGAAGGTCACTCTTACCCAGGGTCGCTCTTGCGGGTAGTTGGTTCCCCAGACCCCCGACGTCATGACATTTTCATAACGTCGACCCTCGAGGTTTCGACCTGTTCCCCGGGACCGGTTTTCATTCCGAGCCACTTTTGGACGGCCCCGAGGCCTGGCAAGGACCCCGAGAGGCCGAATATTTAAATTATCCCAGTGCGACCCTACCTAGGAGTTGGAGTATTTAGGAAAGCACCATCTACATCTACACCGACAGCTACATTTACATTTACACCTGCATCTACATCTACATCAACATCAACAGCGAGACTCACATCTACATCTACACCTACATCTACACCTCTACATCTACACCTACATCCACATCTACACCTACACCTACATCTAGGCTGCGTCTTGGCGCTATGCTATGCTGTGCTGTGCTATGCTATGCTATGCTGCGCTGTGCTATGCTAAGCACTGGTATGCTAGTCTATGCTATGCTATGCTATGCTATGCTATGCTATGCTGCGCTATGATATGCTATGCGATGCGATGCGATGCTGAGCTATGCCATGCTATGCTATGTGTTGCTTGGCTATGCTATGCTATGGCATGCTGTGCTAATGCTGCGCTAAGCTAAGCTAAGCTAAGGTCAGCTAAGCTATGCGAAGCGAAGCTACGCTAGGTTAAGCTCACCTAAGCTAAGCTAAGCCAAGCCAAGCTAAGCTAAGCTAAGATGAGATAAGCTCAGCTAAGCTAGGCTAGGCTAGGCAAAGCTAAGCTAAGCTAAGATGAGATAAGCTAAGCTAAGCTTAGCTTAGCCTAGCTTAACTTAGCTTAGTTAAGCTAAGCTGGGTGAACCCAGGGAGCGCAACTGGGGGAACCGCGGGGAGGATGCCGGGGGAACCGCCCGGGGCGGGCAACACTGCCCGCCCCTTTAAGCATATAAAGTTATAAAGTAAGAACCTTTCTAGGCAGAGCCTAGGTAGGGAATAAATCTGAGCTAGGATGAAGCTAAGCTAAGCTAAGATGAAATAAGCTAAGCTAAGATGAGATAGCAACGCGAAGCGAAGGGACCGTCACTTGGGGAACCGCGGGGCGGATGCCGGGGGAACCGGCCGGGGCGAGCCCCACTGGCCGGCCCCTTTAAGCTAATAAATTTAAGAACCCTTCTAGGCAGAGCCTAGGTCGGGGAAAAATTGCCCATCGCGCTTTTTCATTACTCGAGGGGTCTGGGTCTCTCGAAGAAGATACCGGCGCAAAAAGAAACGATTGGCGGGCCGCGCGGACTTCTCAAACCGGCCTGGGCCTGTCTCCCGGACGTGCGCAGGGCGACCGGGTGGCGCCGGAGGCGCCGTCCGGGGGGTCTCCAACCTGGCCACAGCAGGGGATGGTCCTCACCACCACGGGTGGTGCGATCGTCGACTTCGATCGGGCATTCGCGAACGGGGGGGGGAAACACGTAAACAGGGGAGGAGGAGGGGGAGGAGGAGGAGGAGGAGGGGGAGGAGGAGGAGGAGGAGGAGGAGGAGGAGGAGGAGGAGGGGACGGAGGACGGCGGATGGACTCCTCAGTCCTCGCTCCTCGCTCCTCACTCCTCACTCCTCCGCATCCTCCCCCCGTCTGGCACCTTTTGGGCCCGCGGCGGCAGCAGATGGGGCGAGTTGTCAGGGCCGCTGTCCTGCAGGGGATCCGCTTCCGACGCCCGCCGCGAGAGATCGGCGAGCGTTCGCCCTCGGGCGCTTCCGCCCCGAGCTCGGGCCCATGGGGCACTCGCAGGTCGACCCAGCTCGAGCTGTGCGGCAGGAAGGATTGTGTCAAGCCGGGTGCTGCCGAAGATATGCCTGGCCCAAGCTGCCCCCAGGATGTCTGGGGAGCCCCCCAGTGCTCAGGAGGGGGAAAAACACACAGACACAATGAATCGTCGACTCCCCGGAAAATATTGGAAAATATGGAAAGTGGAGGGGGAAGACAAAAAAACCTAGAAAATATGGGAAAATATGGGGACTAGTTTTATTTGTGTCTATTTATTTGTGTGTCCCAGTTCCCCTTCAAGTGCCTCCAGAGCACCCCTCAGGAGCCCCATGTCGGGATCCCGCGAAGGGTGGGTGTGCCCCGGGCTTCGGTCGATTTTTGCACCGGATCGCCCAGAACAGGTGCCCACCAGCCGCAGGCAGCTCCCGATAGTTGCGGACAGGTGGGGCATGCGGGGGGCATCTGTTCGTGGCAGTTCGGTGCACCAACGGATCGAACGCATGCCCGGCCTCAGGGTCACCCCCCATGTCTGGTTGATCCCGACCATGGGGCTCCAGTGGCGCCAGAATTGCGCGAAAAGCTGGAAATACGAGCGGCGAACATACCTGTATCCGCGCCGTCGCTGTCTGGGTTCCGAGGCGCGGTCCCGCGGATACGCGGTCGCACGGATACGTTCGGCGCGGGGGCATTTGCAACAAAAACGCCCCGTATCCGCTGGGTCGCAGCCCAGAGGCGCGGCCCGCGAGGCTGCGGATGCAGACGTTTTTCTTTCGCCCACGAAGGGGCGCCTGCACCATCCCCCGATCTGGGGCTCCGGTAGCCCTTTGCGTCACGATGTGAGCCTATTTTTTAGATGCTGGCAACTTTCTTTGCATGGACGGGGGGGAGCCTGAATCTGACACGGACCACAAACGACTAGACGTGCAGAAATCACGCAAGTCGAAAGGCACCTGCAGGCTCGTGCTCGATGGAAGAGGAGCGAGGGGTGGGAGGGGGGGGGGGCCGCGAGCGCCATGCAAGTAACTTGGCATCGCTCGGACGCGTGCATTTGTCATTCCGGCGAGGACCATCGAGGAGCATCCTTGATCACTTGGCGAGAAAAAAACGCGCACGAAGCCGAACAAAAACACAGGGCATGGACCTCCGAGCGATGCCCAGGTGAGCATGCCTGGGCGCCGAAGCAGAGCATGCTCGTGTGCGAACTTCCTCGCGACGCCTCCTGCCCGCCTGCGGGGGGGGGGGGCCGGCCGGCCGTGAGGCACGGGGCTCCCCTTGGCGGCGGCGGCCGCGCCGCGCCGGCGGCGAGGTCCAGCACGTGCTGAGCAGCGCGCTCTCCAGGGCCGGCGCGGGGTCCCAGGCTCGGATCTCCACCTGCGCCGAGTTCGCGGAGCTGCTGAGCAAGGCCGCGGGGCGGGAAGACTCTCTCTCGGAGGAGGAGGAGGAGGAGGAGGAGGAGGAGGAGGAGGAGGAGGAGGAGGAGGGAGGAGGAGGAGGGAGGAGGAGGAGGGAGGAGGAGGAGAGAGGAGGAGGGAGGAGGAGGAGGAGGAGGAGGTGCCGATGCCGCTGCGCGCCCTGGAGCTGGAGCCCGCGCCGCCACGGCCAGGCTCGCCTGCAAGAGTGGCGGCCAGAGCGCCATGCGGGGAGAGGCCCGGGGAGAGTGGCGGCACAGGAGCTGCGGTAGAGGGAAACAATGAGTGAACACCCCCCCTGCCCCCCAAATTCAAGGTTGGCACGCGCGGGGGAGGCTGCGGCCGAGGTGCAACTCATCAGGCCCACCGCCAACTTTGAACATTGGGGGGAGGGGGGGGGCGTTCACAGATATATTTGTTTCCGAGGCCTGTAGTTTTCTTTAGACGAAGGCAAGTTTTCTTGCATGGCGTTCGCCGCCCCCCCCCCTCTCCCTCCTCCCCCCCCACCCCACCCTCGAATCCGGGCGTGCAAGTGCCTTCTTTCGACTTGCGTGGCTTCCGCACGTCGAGTCGTCCGCACCTGCTCGAGGTTCTCAGGCCCCCCCCCCTGTCCATGCAAGTAAAGTTGCCAGAATCTAAATAACAGGGTCATGGTTGTTCCCCCAAGCCCGGGATCAGAAACAAAATGGCTGGTCAGAGTGCGGTTCGGAGGGGTCACTCTACAGGGGTCGCCGACATGGGTGCGGAAGATGTTGGGACGACGACCAGACGCAGTTCCTGTCCGTTTTGACAGGACTCGATGTCGGGGTCGTTGCGGATGGCACTTGAGACAGAATTTCACTTGCCCATCAGCTGCCGCTGCCCGTTTTGGACAGCATGTTCTATTGGACGTAGTGCCTGTCTGTTCCGTAGCAAGTTCGGGCGTGCCAAGTGTCTGGTCAGCGTGCGGTTCGGCCGAGTCCCTGCCTCTGATCACATTCACGCTTGCTTAGCGTATGGCGCCAGCTCTGACCCACCCCGCTGCGGTGCGATACGCTGAGCACGTCCTGGCCCCCCACGCATTAACGTTCCCAGCTTTCCCCAGTCTCGCCCCGCGGCGCAGAGCGACACACCATCAGCTTGCAGGGCGTGGCGTGGCGCAGGAGCCGCCGCCGCGGCGCGCCGAGCGAAGGCTCTTGGCCGCAGGGGGATGTCCAGGGAGGCCTGGGCACCGACTCGGCTGACTGCGGCCCTGTCAGGAGGGGAAAAACACACAGACACAATTAATCGTCGATCCCCAGGAAAATATGGGAAAATATGGGAAGTGGGGGGGAAGACAAAAACCCAGAAAATACAGGAAAATATGGCGAATCTTTTTATTTGTGTGTATTTATTTGCGTCCTGGGGCCCCTTCACCCTGAGGCGGCAGCTCCCTGGCCGACCGGTCGGGTCCGCGAGCTCGGGCGGCCAGCGCTGGCACGTCGAGCAGGCCTGCCGAAGCCAGCGCGGCCCCCCGCCCGGCTTTTGTGTGCCCTGCGGCCTGCCGGGAGCAAAGGGCCCCCTGGGAAGCGCGAGCTCGCTGGGCGCAGCCTCGCCATCCCTGTACCGAGGGAGCGGAGCCTCCGTGCACCTCTACAGCCGAGGGCCTACAACCCTCGTCAAAAATAAACTGAGGGATCATGTTTTCGGTGATTGTATGGTCAGCGCTACTCCAATGCTGACGCTAGATATCTGACGTGGGCGCAAGGGCTTCAAAAATCCGACGACCCCTCCGCAGCATTGAAGAACGCAGTTTCTAACAAGTGCCCGAGAAGATCGATCGTCGTGATTTCCAACTGCGTTTCTGTTTGTTTTTGACGAGGCTTGTAGTTAGGCGGGTGGTCAGCCCGCGGGTCCACGTGGGCTCGCGAGCACTGCTGGCAGCCTCGAGTCCGCAAGAACTGTCACGCCAACGCGTCGGTGCTAATGAGGATCATCGCAAAGGCAAGCTTGCACTGTGAATCCAGTGTCGTTATTCATGCTTGCGTGAGCATCCGTTTGCGATATACTTGTAGATGGTGTGATATTAGTATCCGTGCGCAGCGAAGGTGCAAACGCTCCCCTCCGAGTCTCTTAGCTTGAATTCCGCACGACAGCAGCGTCAGCACCTGCGGTGACGCGATGTCATTCTTACAGTAATACGGCATTCGTTGCGAAAAGAACAACACATGTCACCTTATCGGCAGGGGACCCTACTCAGCTTCACGCAGTGACACGGAGTGGGGGGGCACGATAGGAGGCCATGATGGGCCGTTGTTTTTGGGTTGCGCGGCACGGCATCCCTCATCGGGCTTTAGACAAAATATACAGAAGCGTGAAAGACAATATGTTCAGGGAAGCAGCTCGCTGTTCCTGGCGGTAATCGCCATGCCGCCTCTTCTTGCGCGAGGAGACCCTGTCGATCTCCAGACGTTGATGGCGGAACGGGTTGCGACGTTTCGGCATCGACAGTGGCGAGGGGAAGGGGCATTGGCCGACCAGACGATTTAAGGGTGGCCGCCTTACCATAGAGAGAATCATGTTGCGACATGCCACCGCGCGAGCCCGCTGCTTTCTTTATGTAATCTGGTGGACTGCTCGAGACTATCATGGACTTTGCGTGATCGGTGCGACTATGATGGACTATGCGCCATCGGTGCGCAGTGATACGACGCTGCCAGGGGCACACACGCCTGACTGCCTGTCTTTTACGGAAGTGCTGTAGAAGGAACGACGGGGGAGACGAGAAAAGAGGGAGCGTGGAGGGAAGGGACGGGGATGGGTGCGCACAATTTCTTGTAGCCAGTCTTGGCAGCACATGCGGCAGTGGTGCGTTAACGATTTGCTGACGGCTTCCTTGGTGTGCGCATATGTTTGTGTGAATGTATGGCCCGATCGGCATTGCCATCTTGAACTTTGATGCTGCCATCCAGTGGGCAAGTCGCCTGCTGCACACGTGAAAGGTGCGTGGAAATCGTTCGTACTCGCGCCGTGCATGTGACAGCTCAGCCGACCGAAGTTAGTTGCGTGTCTCGACCTTGCGATAGCACTTACGCCTTCCGTATAGCAATCGGACTCCCATTCCATACGGGGGAGCTTGACGAGGAGGAGGGCGCAGAGGCGAAGGGGGAAACATATGGATTGTATGCTGTTTCTGATAACCTGCTACGGCCCGACCACAAAAACGTAGTTTTCTTTGGGCCCTCCCGCCCTGACATCGGTTCACAACCCCCTTCCCTCGTTCAGCTCAGGAGGGGGATGATCATATTGATGAGGAGCAGGCTCGTAACGATACGTCGGGAGGAGGACGAGGAGGAGGAAGATCAGGATCAGGTGAATCAGGGTCTGGCGCGCCGTATCTGCCATCATGATCCCTGACATCGACGAGACACATGTTTCGGCCTGGTCCCAACATGAGACGGCGGAGGCAATGGAGGGTCTTCGGTGGATGCTGCAAGTCTGACATCGGGTCGATTTATTCAATCGCTTCGCTCACTCCGCCGGCCCGTATTGCATGATCGCTACTGTTTCGGCGCGGGCTCGGGGCCATTTCGGCGCCGCCGGAAGGAGGAAGATGAGGATGGGGAGGGGGAGGGGATGAGGAGAAGAGGATGAGAAGGAATGGAGGAGGATGAGGATAAATATGAGGAGGAGGAGGAGGAAGAGAAAAGGGCGGAGGAGGAAGCCTCTCGATGGCATCTGATTCATTTCCGAGGCGACCGGCTGGGCCGAGATGTCGAGCCACTTCCTGAGCTCGCACGAGCGGGCGCTGGAGCGCACGGAGCTCCGCAGCTCCACCGAGCAGCACTACCAGCACGCCGTCGCGAGGACCCCGGGCCGGACGGGCAAGGTGGGAATGAGCGCGATGACCAGGAGCGAAAGAAGGACGTACACGTACTCCAGGTTTCGTAATAAAAGGGAGGGGGTCTGGACCCTCCAAGACAAGCCATTTCAGACCTCCCCCGTGGGAGAACCCTCCAAAACATCGTCCCCAGACCCCCCCAGGCCCTCCAAGATAGCTTGGAAAAGACCCCCCCCGAAATGAGACCCCCCTCCCTTTTATTACGAAATCTGGAGTAAGGTGGGAATGAGCGCGATGATCAGGAGCGAAAGAAGGACGTACGCGTACATGAATCCACGCTGGTGTCGAGAGTTCGCCTTGCGCGGATGTTCGCATCACGCGGCCAGTCTCGCGGGTCGAGGGGCCGCGTTCCTGTACATAGCTGGGCGCCTACGTCCTCTTGTGGGCTCCCTGGATGAGGATGGAAAGGGAGAGCCGGCACCGATCGTAAGGCCTCGGGCTGCGCACGTGCCATCCTCCCAGGTGGCCCTGCAGAGTGCCTCGCCAGGCCCCCCCCGAGGGAGCAGTCCCAGCCTGCCCCGGCAGGCCCGCCGAGCAGGCCTGCAGGGCGGCCCCGACGCCTCCTCCGGCGGCGCCCCCGTGGCGCTCCGCGCCCCCCGGGGGGCGTCGGGGCGGCGGGGCCCCCCTGGGCTGCTCCTCGGGGGGGGGGGGGCTGCCGAGGCCAGCTCGGACCGCTCGGGGGGCTCGTCGAGGCCAGCGGGGGCCCTCAAAGCGACGCGAAGATCGGGACAAAATCAGATCGGGATAACTCGAAATCTCTGAGAATCGGCGGGTTTGGAGGATGTATTGGGCGCCGCGGCCGCTCCAGAGCGTTCCGGAACGCTCTGAGAGCGCTCCAGAACGCTTTGGAGCGATTTATCCCGATCCTGGCCCAGTTTTAGGCCCTACCCGTGGGGGCAGTCCGTGCGCCACCTGAAGCCGTGATGTGTCACGGGCTCTGCTGCGCGATGCTGGCGGGCGTCTCCGCAGGAGGGCCTCGTGCAGAGGTGGGGGAGGTGGCTCGGCTTCGTCGGCGCGGCGCACGGGTGTCTCGCACGTGCCGTGCTGGAGCGCTTCGTGTGTCGGCGGCCGTGCGCCGAACTTTCGAGAGATGTTGGAGTGGTCGCAGCCATCTGTAAATCGTTACACACGAAGCTGCATGGCGCAGGGTTCTGGGCCAGCCGCCTGCTGTGGCATCGCCGCTCGCTCAGTTTGCCGAACGTGTGCAGTGCGCTGGTGAGCTGGAGTACGTTCACGAGTGTTGCGACCAGAGGCCTTTGATCGTTTCCTGTGTGCCTCCCACTGCGTCTTTGGCTGGTATGCCGCTTCAGGTCGCCTGCGTGGTGAGCCCGCCACAACGGGCACGGATCGTGGGCCCGACAGGTTTGTAACTTTCGGGCACACAGCCTGATATCGCCACCCCGCTTGTCGCCGATGTTTACGTTGCATCTTCGGGGACCTCGTTCGTACCAAAGTTGGTGGCTTTTCTTTTTCTTGCGCCCGACGTGGGCTCGACGCGGACTCGGCGCGGATTTGGCATGGATTCAACGTGGATTCGACGCGGGTTCGACGAGTCCGACAGGGATTAGAGCCAGATTCGACGCGGATGGGGGCGCGATGGGACAGACAAGGTCCCCCGCAGATGCAATTTAGCGATGTGTTCTGACCTCTTGGTGTACCCGTTCGCGCCCCACGCCCCGCGGGGGTGAGCTCACCCCTGGCTCTGCCCCGCTGGAGATGAAACAGTTCAGCGCGCTGCCTCCCCAGGAGCCCCGGCACCAATCGGCTGGGGATGATGGCGTCCCAGAACTCCAGCGGGGGCTCGGCGCTGTCATCGCCCGGCTGGGCACCAGAAGCGGGCGCGGGTGGGCAGCTTCCAGAGGCAGCGGACTGGTTCCGCCTCGGGGAGACGGCAAGGCTCTTGCAAGGAGGCGCGGCGCCTGCTCCCCACTGCTGGGGTATCTCCATGACCGCCGCCTTTTGAGTCGTGCCTTGGGATCCCGAGGAGCGTCCGAGCGGTAAGTCCACACACATATATAGAGAGAGAGAGAGACAAGACAAGACTGCGTTGGCGCTTCGCGCCATGCGCCTTGTTCCGGACGCTTCCCTGGCAAAGCAATAAATTATCGCTTTCTTCAGCAGAGAGGACCTCGAGGCCTGGACGGGCGACCCGCCCATTTTTCCGATGTATCCCAGGTGCCTGGTGACACCGCTTTCGGACGATGCCCTGGCACGCTTGTGCGCAGGAGTGGGGAAATCATGCTGATTTTGTCGCGCGCAAAGGTCCTTTGAGGAAGTAAGGAGCGTTCCCATGACACGCCGAAGAAGTCACAGTAGCTCCGAACACATCGATTTGTGATCGCTTCCCGAATGCCTGGAGGGCTCCAGGCACTCAGGGAATCTTCGAGTGTCGAATTTCGAATCTAGATCCATTGCCTGTCTCTCTCGATCGGGGAGCTGCTGAAACCTCGAGCCTCAAGCGTGGAACCAAGATCGTCGGGTCAGCTTGGTGTATTTCGTAGGAGAACGCCGTCTGGTCGTTTTTGGTGCTCTTTTGTGCCGTCCTGGGGCACTCGTGGGCCGTCCTGGGGGCTTCTTGGGCCGCCTTGGGGAGCTGGGGCCCTCCAGAGGTCTTCTGGAGCCATCTAGGGCCCTCTTGCGGGCCTCCATTGGCGCCCTTGGAGATATCCATCCCATGGTTTTCGTGGGTCTCTCTTGGGGGCCTTCTGGGGGCATCTTGGGCTTCTTGTGGGCAGTCTCGGTGCTCTCTGGGGCAGTCTTGGAGCCCCCTTGGGCCGCCTTCAAGCCCTCTAGGGGGCCTCCCGGGCCGTCTCGGGGCGAGATTGGGGGCCCATTGGGCCGTCTTGGACGCTGCGAAGACCCCAAAAGCGGATATGCACAACAAATGTATTTCCTGAGGGAATGTGACAAGTTTGGTTTCTTCGGGGTACGCTTAACGGCCTCTTGGGTGTCTTGGGGGCCTCTTGGGCCGTCTTCAGACCATCGAGGTTCTTCTTGGAGCGCTCTTGTGCTGTCTTGGGCCTCTCTTGCGCCTCTCCGATGACCCTTCTAATCGCCTTGAGTCTGCTCGCAAGGCCTGTCAATGCGCCCTGGGAGGCCCGGGAGGGCCGCCGAACCTTTTCCAAGGGCGTCCAGGGCCGCCGAAACGTCCGAAAAGGCGTCCCGGCCGTCCCTCGGAGGAGGATCCGGTTTAGGGGGGGGGGGGTCCCGGGGGGGGGGGGTCCAGGTAATAAAAATATATGAATAGGAATCGGAATTCCTCTTATTATATTTTTATAAGCCTGGGAGTTCGGTTTTGGGGGGGCCCCCCCAAAACCGGACTCCCGGGATCTAGGGCTTTGGGACCCTCCGGACGGGCCTCGAAGCGGCCCCCCTGGCCTCGCGCCAAGCCTTCCCAGCACACCTAGGGCGATCAGGGGGGTCATCGGAGACGTCTCAGAGACCCCCATGACAGCGCAAGAGCCCTCCAAGAGTGACCGAAGTGACCTCAAGATGGCCCAATGGTCTCCAGGACGGCCCCAAAGAGGCCTCCAAGAGCACCCCTAAGAGGCAAAAATCATTGATTTTCTGATCGTTTTTGGTGAATTTTGGGGTTCTCCTCTTCTCGGCTTCCCGACGCTCCAAGACGGCGGTCTTCTGGGCGTTCGAAGCCGCCTGGGAGGCTCCAGAATCGCCCCACAACCATCCGAAAGGGCTTGCAGGCAGTCCAAGAGAGCCCCAAAACGGCACAACACGGGTCCAAGGTGGCCCTCAGAGAGCCCCATTTCGGCCCAAGATGGCCCCAAGACACCCTCCGAAGCATTCCAAATCGTGACCCGGTCGTTCAGGGAGACCGTGGTTGGAGGCAGGGTGGCCCGAGGAAGCCCCCAGAGGCCCCCAGAATACGCCCAGGAGGCCTCCAGAAGGCCTCAAGAAAGCCTGAAACCATTGTTTTTAAGCCCCCAGAGACTCTCCCAGGACGAGCATCCGCAAAGAAAAGCTGAGGAGGATAGGGAGAATGCGCAGGGCATGGCGAACATGAGGAAAAAGAAGCATGGAGGAAGGATAACGAATAGCAGTATCATAGCGGCGATGCCGGAAAAGGCAACAAGGAGTTATCGCTAAATTGTCGGCTTGATTTTCCTGCTATTCCGCCTGCGCACCAAACTTCAAGGACCAAGGTGCATGGCGCGAAGCGCCACTGCAGTCTTGTGTGTGTATATGTATGTATGTATGTATGTATGTATGTATGTATGTATGTATGTATGTATGTATGTATGTATGTATGTATGTATGTATGTATGTATGTATATATATAAAAATATATATATGTGTATATATATATATATATATATATGTCGGGGTACGGGGCCGGGGGCCTCTGGCCAGGTGCCTCGACTCGCCATGGTGGGACCCCCCCCCAGGCCTCTCCAGAGCCGCTCCGGGGCGTCTCCCGAGCGGCTCTGGACGGACCCTGGTGCTGTTTCAGCACCAGGAATAGTTCCCATCTTCGACCCATGTCGCCGAAGCACGTGGTAGAGATTTCGGGAGGCCTCCAACATGGCTCCGGACGCTTCCAGGAAAACTCCCAAGAGCCCTCCGGGTGACCAACATTTCATGGTTTTCCGAGGGTTTCGGAAGGATTTCGGCCTTTTGTTTTTTTCGGTTGTACGACGCTCCACGACGGCCCAGGAGGTCTCCAGGTCCGCCCCCAAGCCAAGCAGCCCCAGAGGCCCCCCAGACAAGCCCGAGGCGGCCCCGGAGAGCCCAAGGTCTGGCCCAAGAAGCGCCCACGACAGCCCACGAAGGCTCCAAAACAAGCCCAAGAAGGGCCCAAGAGAGGGACCGCGTACCGAACACCCAGGGCTCCCGCCTCAACGGTGACCCCAGAGGCCCCAGGCAGTCCCCAAGAGTCCTCCAACATTGCTCTAGGCGCTTCCAGGAGCACTCCCACGAGGGCCCCAGCAGGCCAAAATTGATGGTTTTCCATGGTTTTCGAAGGGTTTGGCCTTCTAGGCGGCCCAGGAGGCCTCCGAGACCGCCCCCAAACAGCTCCAGAAGCGCCCAAGGCTGCCCCGAGGCATTCCCGGAGAGCCCAAGGCTGGCCCAAGAAGCTTCCAGGGCAGCCCACGAGTGCCCCAAAACATGCCCGAGAGGTGTCCAAGAGACGGACCGCGTCCGGAAAACCCAGGGCTTCCGCCTCAAGACAGCCCCAGGAGGCCCCAGGTAGCTCCCAAGAGGCTTCAAACATGGCTCAAGACGCCTCCAAAAGCACCCCTAAGAGGATCCCAACAGGCCAAAATCGCTTATTTCACGTAGGAATTGGAGGATATTGGCCTTCTTGTCTTTTCGGCTTCCCGACGCTCCAACAGGGCCCAGCGCGCGTCCAGGTCCGCTCCCAAACAGCCCTAGGCGGGCCCAGAGAGCCCCAGGGAGCCCGCAAGACCGGCCCTACGCAACCCAAGAGTTCCTCGGCAGGATAGTCTGGGAGGGGGGAAGAGCGGGGGAGCCTCTGGCACCACATGCTCCGGGAACGAACCTCCGGAACATGGCGTGCGATCGTGAGCGGAGTGCACGCCGCCGTCTTCGTGGTAAGAATCGTCGCGGGCATCGCACCTGAACGGTGTCTCAACTAGAACCTGAGCGCGCGCGAAGCGCGCGCGATGGTTCTAGTGTGTGTATATATATATATATATATATACACAGATGTATGTCTATTGTCATGTATCCGCAGCCACCGCTCCCTAGGTACTCAGAGCAGGGACCCCAAAAAGATGTGGGTATAGATGTACTTCGGGGGGTGCACGGTCGTTGCCTATTGAGAAGGCCTTAAGGCAGGGGCCGCCGACCCTGAGGGACGACGACGACGACGTTCATGACGACGACGGCGACGACGACGACGGCGACGACGACGACGACGACGACGACGACGACGACGACGACGGGGTGCACGGTCGTTTCCTACTCTCTTGCGTATCATCATCTGAAGTGCTGCGAAGGCTTACGGGGTTGCGGTAATATGTACGCGCTTGCCGCGGCCAGTGTGCCTTATACGAATCCTTTGCTGCACGCTCCGCGTAACCCCACACGCCCATCGAGAAATGATTGCCAGGCGGGTTGCCCTGCTAAGGCATGTGGGGGAACACGCAGTGGAGTAAAGGTTGGGAAGCCGTCATACCCCAAGAGGGAGAGGATGGAGGAGGAACCAGAGGATGATGATGAGGAGGAGGAGGAGGAGGAGAACGAGGAGGAGGAGGTGGAACCAGAGGAGGAGGAGGAGGAGGAGAAGGAGTAGGAGGAGGAGGAGGAGGAGGAGGAGGAGGAGGAGGGGGAGGAGGAGGAGGAGGAGGGGGAGGAGGGGGAGGAGGGAGGAGGAACATCGAGCGGGGGGCAATTGACGCCATAATGTGGAGGTGGAAAAAGGTGTGGAGGTACGTTGGGCCCCGCCCTGCAGCCGTCTTCGTTGGCCGATGGGCTGCAGGGAGCTCCTCGGCCCCCTCCGGTGGCTGCTGACGCCTTCATGTAAAGGTGTAGAGGGGACCCACGCAGCCCCTATGATGGAAGCTGCGCGGGGTGTGAGGCCTCTTGACGGTCCTCACGGGTGAGGCCTGAAGACGGTCTTCCCCAGGTGGGGGGGCGAGAGGGAGGGGGCGCGCGCGCTTCTCGACAAGGTGGCTCCTGCTGACGGTCCTGGGGCGGGATTCCTGGAAAAGGGGCCCAAAGCGGCATGCACAGCTTCGACACCGACATTGCGCATGCCTTGCGCACTCGTTGTCCCATGGGGTGGACAAAATGCTGGGGGGGAGACGCAGAAAGGGGGGAAGGAAGGATGGGGGAGGTGGGAGGGAGTTGTTGCGTTGCCCCCCCCGTCGACCACAAACGGCAGGTGGTCGAAAGGCGGGGCCGTGCTTCTCGAAGATGTGGCTCCTGA